CAGATGCCAACGGGTATCCCCCCCCCTGAGGTTCCCTTGTGAAAAACACGATGCGGTGACATGTTTTGTTATAACATAACACTTGTTCACGAATCCCTTGCAAAAATATGACGAAGTGCACACGCGCGCGTCGTCGCGCGCGCATGCCGACATCCTTCAAAAACCTTCGGTGCCAGAAGGATTTCGCAATCGAGTTTCCAAAAAAGATACAAAAACACAAGGGTTCGCAACAATGATTTGCAAAAAAAACTTCCGCGCCAGCTCTTGCGGAATCTTAAGAAAACTATAGGTTTGTCAAAATGTCTACAAAATGCTCTTAAACGGGCTTCGCGCGCGCGCATGTCGAAATCTGTCGAACGCCCTTGCGCGTGTGCCGTCGCGAGAATCCTCTGCAAAAAACGAGACGAAGTGCAGACGCGCGCGTCGTCGCGCGCGTATGCCGAAAACTTTCAAAACCCATCGGTTTCGGAAGGATTTCAAAATCGCGTGTCCAAAAAACCTATAAAAATCCAAGGTTTCGCAACACTGATTTTCAACAAAAGCGTGCGCGCGCGCTCTTGCGTCGTCGTCGTCGTCGTCGTCGTCGTCGCCGTCCTCCTTCCTCCCGCGTCGTCGTCGTCATCGCCTACGTCGTCCTCTGTCTTTCCTCGTGTTCGTCGTCGTCGTCGTCCTCTTTGGCGTCGTGTCGTTTCCGTCGTCGTTGTCGCCGTGGTCGTCCTTCCTCCTCCTCCTCCCTCGTCGTCGTCGTCGTCGTCCGTCGTCGGCGTCTCGTCGTCATCCCTCCTATCGCGCCGTCGTCGTCGTCGTCGTCCTCGTCGTTGTCGTCGTCGTCGTCTTCCCTCCTCCCTCGTCGTTGTCGTCGTCGGCGTCGCCGTCCTTCCTCCTTTTTCGTCGTTCGCGTCGTCGCCGTCCTCCCTCCTCCCTCGTCACTGTCATCGTTTTCGTCGTTGTCGCCGTTGTCGTCCTCCCTCCTCCCTCGTCGTCGTCTTCGTTGGCGACGTCGTCGTCGTATTCGTCGTCGTCGTCGGCGTCGGCGTCGTCGTCTTCGTCGTCGCCGACGTCGGCGCCGTCGTCGTCGCCGGCGTCGTCGTCGTCGCCGTCGTCGTCGTCTTTGTCGTCGGCGTCGTTGACGTCGTCGTCGTCGGCGTCGTCGTTGTCGCCGTCGTCGGCGTCGTCATCGTCGTCGTGGGTTTTGCAAACCAAGTTGCGGGTGGGCGGGCGGGATGTTTGCAAGAGCGCGGGATGTGTCAACTTGTTTGTTAAAATCAATTGCACAGCATAGATTCTCTTTTCTACAAGAAGAAGAGACACGACCCCCCCACCACCCCAACCCCCAACTCCCCACCTACCCCCGAGTTAAGGGCCCCCCATGGCATTGCAATTTCATATTGAACTCTGCGCACTCGTCCATCCTAAAAAACGAATTCATACCATCCCACCAGGCCCGGCGTCGCCCCCCCCCACCCACGCCATCCCGGTCAAATCAAATACGATGTCATCAAGATCCGGTTGTTTTGTTGTAATCCGTTTTCCCTTGCAAAAAAAAAAAAAAAAAAAAAAAAAAAAAAAAAAAAAAAAAAAAAAAAAAAAACACGCGCGCGTCCGTGTCAAAATCGCACCAACACACAACGTGTTTGCAAGCATTGCAGCATCAAAAAACCCCGAACCAAAAAAAAACATGGCTGCGCAACACAAACGCCCATGCTAAAATCACGCAAAAACAACAGCATGCTTATGATTCTGGCAAATCCAGCGATTTCATGTCACCGCGCGGCGCACCCGCGATACTCCCGTCACGCGCCGAAAGCGCGAATCCTTTTTGCAAAAAACACCACGCGGGTCACATGCGAGCACCGCCGCGCGCGCATGATCAGTCTGACGGAAAAGTTGAACTTCCGCGCGCGCGGATTTCCCTTTTCAACCTGTGTCAGCATCACCGCGATCACCTGCCTCATCGACAGATTGACATCAATATCGTCAACGTGTTTGCCACCATTGGCGCCGTGATCGTTCGTGCCGTCGCCCTCTTGAACATCGCCATCGTTGGTGCCATCTCCGTCATTGCCGCAGTCGTTGCCGACGTCATCTTGTCATCGCGTACGTCCGAGTATCCTCAATATGCTCACCTTCATCATCGACGCACGGTGACGAACATCGGCACTGAGGATGTTATCATCGATGTTGTCATCGGTGGCGCCGCCGCCCCCCGCATCATGAGCTTTGCCAAACAAGTTTCGCGTGAGATGACGACTTCAAGTTCAGCAGAGTGGATTGCACCATTCGGTTGGGCCACCTAGCCCACACCAGAAATATCGCACCACATGGATTCTCCTTTCTATAAAGAGAATAGACTCCACCCCCCCCGGACTTATCCGTTCCCCTTTCGGGTATGTAAATCATATATGATTCTGACCACTCGTCCATCCTAAATATGAGATCATACCATCCCAGCTAGGCCGGGTTCCCCCCCCTGGGGTTCCCTTGCGAAAAAACACTATGCGGTGACATTTTTTGTTCTAACAAAACACTTGTTCACGAATCCCTTGCAAAAAAAAAAAAAAAAAAAAACGAGACGAAGTGCACACGCGCGCGTCGTCGCGCGCGCATGCCGAAATCCTTCAAAAACCTTCGGTGCCGGAAGGATTTCGCAATCGAGTTTCCAAACAAACATACAAAAACACATGGTTTCGCAACACTGACTTGCTAAAAAAAGTTTCCGCGCGAGCTCTTGCGAAATCTTAAGAAAACCATAGGTTTTCAAAGATTTTCGCAAAATGCTACCAAACGGGCAGCGCGCGCGCGCATGTCGAAATCTGTCGAACGCCCTTGCGCGTGTGCCGTCGCGAGAATCCTCTGCAAAAAAATGGGACGAAGTGCAGACGCGCGCGTCGTCGCGGGCATATGCCGAAATCCTTCAAAAACCTCCGGTTTCGGAAGGATTTCGAAATCGTGCGTCCAAAAAACCTACAAAAACACAATGTTTCGCAACACGGATGTTCAACAAAAGCGTGCCGCGCCGCGCATCTTGCGTCGTCGTCGTCGTCGTCGTCGCCGTCCTCCCTCCTCCCGCGTCGTCGTCGTCGTCGCCTACGTCGTCCTCTGTCTTTTCTCGTGTTCGTCGTCGTCGTCCTCTTTGGCGTCGTGTCGTTTCCGTCGTCGTTGTCGCCGTGGTCGTCCTTCCTCCTCCTCCCACGTCGTCGTCGTCGTCCGTCGTCGGCGTCTCGTCGTCGGTTCTATTTCGTCACCGTCGTCGTCGTCGTTGTCGTCGTCGTCTTCCCTCCTCCCTCGTCGTTGTCGTCGTCGGCGTCGCCGTCCTTCCTCCTTCGTCGTCGTTCGCGTCGTCGCCGTCCTCCCTCCTCCCTCGTCGTTGTCGTCGTTGTCGTCGTTGTCGCCGTCGTCGTCCTTCCTCCTCCCTCGTCGTCGCCTTCGTTGGCGGCGTCGTCGTCGTCTTCGTCGTCGTCGGCGTCGGCGTCGCTGTCGTCGTCGAAGTCGTCGGAGACGTCGTCGGTGTCGTCGTCGTCGTTGTCGTCGGTGTCGTCGTAGTCGGTCTTAAGAGGTTTTGCAAACCAAGTTGCGGGTGGGAGGGTGGGATGTTTGCGCGAGCAGTGGAGAGGACAGCTTCAAGTTGAGCAAGTGATTGATTGCACGACATAGATTGCCCCGCATAGCTCACACCCCATAGGTCGCGCCACATAGATGGCGCCACGTAGCTTACGCCAAATAGCTCACACCACATAGATGAATACGTCTGTTCCTAACGCATAGATTGCACCACGTATCTTACACCACATAGCGCACACCACACATGTTGCACCACATAGCATGCGCTACAGAGCTTAGACAACACAACTTGCACCACGTAGATTGCACCACCTAGCTTCCGCCATACAACTTTCACCACATAGCTTGCACCACATGTACATGGTCACCTGGCATGCCAAAATATACCGTTTGGCTTCACCTTAACTAGCATCTATGCGTGGATATCTGTATATAGTTGTGTATGTCTAAGCCTATGATGTATGTAAGCCGCTGCGCCGTTTGTTCTCGACGCGCCCAAGTGGACGATGCCGACACCACGGCAAGCCCACAGCAATCCCACGGCAAGCCCTGCGACCGAGGCGGCGTTTGCCGTGGTGGCCGAGGCGTCCTCGCCAAGACGGAAGGCCGCGCGTCGGAACAAGCGGGGGGGGACATACGCACAACGGTATACACTTATGCGGGTACAGATGTACCCAAATAGCTACTACGACTGTCATTCCAGCATCGCGCATGATGGTCGAGCAAATGTATATGCATATGTGGATTTGTCATCGCATTGCAGTCATCACCTCAACCATTCGGCTAACAAAACACCCTCTGGCTGCGCGATGGTGACTACACTATGTCCTGACAGTACGCGCCACTTGATACTTTCATGACGTCACCTTGCTGGCAGCATGTTCTGCTCGCCCAGCCTTCACGTCACACTGCGACGTCAGATCGCGCATTCACTCTTTACTACGACTGCGTAGCAATCCTACGCCATTATACTGGTTCCTGTTTGTCTTATGCGGGGCATCCTCGAGATATAATCGGTGACCAATCCGGCCAATGTCGCGCACCTTCGCGAGATGCACTCGGCACGCCCTCGGGACCATGACCGTGAAACCATTGAAATCGGCCGGGACGTAACCAAGATGCCATCAGGAGACTGTCCAAAGTCAACCGAGAAACAATCGGGGCACTATTCACAATTATCCTTTACTTATGTCAGCAAATCGTTCTCGCGTTGTTTCTCCTTCTATATATCCTCCTCGAATGTGTAGATTACCCCCGTATCCCGTCAGCTCATACACTCATCTCGCCCCCCCTTTGTATGTGTGTTAGATGCTGCTTCTATTGGGGCCTACACACCAAAGGGAAACCCATTTCCTTCAGAATCCGCCCTGCCTCTGGAGGGACGCTGTCTTAGGAACAGCCTGCACGCTGTGCAAAGTGTTGGGCATGCCCTCGGGCTCCTGATGCCGCTCGCCGCCTCGCCCCACCTCGCGCCCGAGGAGATCGAGGACGCAGACCTTGGTCCAGCGCGCGACGCCGAGACAAGCACAAAACGGCAACAATGCACGGAGCTCAGTCAGCAGCGTTCCGTTGAAGGGCAGCGTACTTCTACATTGTGCACCGACGCGCGATGCCGAGACAGACAGGAGCGGCCACAATACACGGAACCCAGTCGGCAGCGCTCAATAGAACAGCGCTTACTTGTACATTGTGCGCACAACCCTCGTCACCTTGGCGCGGGTCAGCGCGGACGCCGCCGTCCTACTCGCCCCACCCCCCGCGTACACTGTAGCGGGACTGGCACAACGAGCCCCAAGCAGCAGGGAGGGCCACCCGCAGCGTTCTGTCGCGCCCAGCTCTCCTCCTGCCCTCGACCCCTTCCGCCTTTCAGCGCTCAGCGCTCGGGCTCCTCCTCCTCCCTCCCAGACTCCACAGGGTGCCGCTCAGCGCTCCTCCCCCTCCTCCTCCTCCTCCTCCTCCTCCTCCTCCAATCCTCCCCTCCTCCTCCTCCTCCTCCTCCTCTCCTCCACCTCCTCCTCCTCCTTCTCGCTCGTCCTCACTCCTCCTCCTCCTCCACCTCCTCCTCCTCCCTCCTCCTCCTCCTCCTACCTCCTCCTCCTCATCCTCCTCCACCTCCTCCTCCTCCTCACCTCCACCTCCTCCTCCTCCTCCTCCTCCTCCTCACTCCTCCTCCTCCTCCTCTTCCTCCTCCTCCTCCCTCTCACTCGTCCCCCCCTCCACCTCCTCGCTCGTCCCTCCTCCACCTCCTCCTCCTCCCCTCCGCCGAGGTGTAACGGGCGGTCGAGGGACCGCCACCGTGCCAGCAAAGACGAGCCGCAGCCAGAACGGAGCACACTCCGAACAGTAGTAGCGCCCTGTGGCGAGGCTTCCGCAGCACCCCACGCCGAGGGGTAGAGGAGGATGGGAGAACGAGAATGAGGATGAGGATGAGGAGGATGAGGATGATGAGGATGATGAGGATGATGAGGATGATGAGGATGATGAGGATGATGAGGATGATGAGGATGATGAGGATGCTGAGGATGCTGAGGATGATGATGATGATGATGATGATGATGATGATGATGATGATGATGATGATGAGGATGAGGATGAGGATGAGGATGAGGATGAGGATGAGGATGAGGATGATGAGGATGATGATGATGATGATGACGATGAGGATGATGAGGATGATGATGATGATGATGATGATGCTGCTGATGATGCTGGTGATGGTGGTGATGATGGCGGTGATGATGATGATGGTGATGATGATGCTGATGATGCTGGTGGTGGTGATGATGGTGATGACGAATATGATGCTGCTGCTGATGGTGATGAGGAGGATGATGATGGTGGTGATGAGAAGGATGACGAATCTGATGATGCTGATGATGATGCTGATGATGATGGTGATGATGGTGATGATGATGATCCTGATGCTGATGCTGCTGATGATGATGATGATGGTGGTGACGATGATGAGGATGATGATGATGATGCTGATGATGAGGATGATGATGATGATGATGATGACGATGATGATGATGATGATGATGATGATGATTAGGGGTGGGAGGATAGAGGGAGGGAGAGAGGGAGGGAGGGAGGGAGGAGGGTGAGAGATACGAAGAGGCAGCAGGAGGGATGAAGGTGCCTGGCCGATCACATCGCGAACCACGGAGGCCTCCGTTTGCAGCAGAGCTCGGCACGGGGCGCCTCTAGAAGCTGAGGCACACAAGGCCCGCCGAAGCCTCTTCACTATCCTCAAGAAGGCAGTCCTCTGCGGGCGCTGCGGGTACTAAACTGATGGGTCATGCATGGCACACGGCACCTGCGGCCCCCCCGATAAAGCTCGCGGACATCGCAATTCCCCCCATCCCACAGAGTGCCGCTCAGCGCTCGGACTCCTCTCCTCCTCCCCCTCCTCCTCCTCGTCCTCCTCCTCCCCCTCCTCCTCCTCGTCCTCCTCCTCGTCCTCCTCCTCCTCGTCCTCCTCCTCCTCCTCCTCGTCCTCCTCCTCCCCCTCCCCCTCCTCTCCTGAGGAGAAGGAGAAGGAGAAGCAGCAAGAGGACCTAGACATCCGACGGATTGCTTTTGCCAGATCTGCGGGCCCCTGCCCCGGGGGGGGGGCCGAAGACGGCCCCCCGAGGCCGAAACGGGGCCACAGCGCCGGAACTGGAACACAGTCCACCCGAGGCCCCAATGGCCAACATTCACCGTGGTTCCGTGTGTGTTTGAAGGGGGGTGGGGGAAAAAGGGCCGAGGAGGAGGAGGAGGAGGAGGAGGAGGAGGAGGAGAAGGAAGTGGAGGAGGAGGAGGAGGAGCGCAGCCTGCCGACCGCCGCGGGCGGTGCAAGAGGAGGGGGCAGCGACCCGCGTGTGCCTGGGGGCTGCCCCCCTGGAGGGCCGAGCGCCAAGGGCCACGCGTCCGACGGGCCACTCGAACTGCGAGCCCTCCTCCTCTCCTCCTCCCGCCTCCCTCCTCCTCCTCCTCCTCCTCCTCCTCCTCCTCCTCCTCCTCCTCCTCCTCCTCCTTCTCCTCATCCTCCTCCTCCCCCTCCTCCTCCTCCTCCACGTCCTCGCCCTCCTCCAGAAGCCTCGTCTCTGGCGGCCGCTCGCGGGCGGGCGCGGGCACCACCGCCAGAGCACCCCAACGGCGAGGCGCAGCTGCTGGGACGGGCCCGGAGGCGGGCACGCTTCCAGGAGCCAGCGGCAACGCCGGGGAGCGATAAAACGTGCGGCCGAGACGCTCCGCCCGCGCCCGCACCAAGGGCCGCTCGGGCGACGGGTCACTCGAACTGCGAGCCCTCCTCCTCCCCCTCCTCCTCCTCCTCCTCCTCCTCCTCCTCCTCCTCCTCCTCCTCCTCCTCCTCTCCTTCTCCTCCTTCTCGTCCTCCACGTCCTCGCCCTCCTCCATAAGCCTCGTCTCCGGCGCAGGGCCGCTCTGACGCGTCGCCGAAGGACTTCTTCCAGGATCGGTCAGCATCGAGTCGGGAGTCGGCGACGAGCGAGGGGGGGAAATGAGTGAGAGGGAGAAGGCCTTCTCAGAAGGCGGCGGGACTTCTCAGAAGCCCTCGCACCTTCTGGGAAGCTGTTTCTGTCTTCGGGGAAGGCTTAGAAACGTCTCAGAAGGCCAGGGGAGTTCCGCACCTTCTGAGAAGGCCTTCTCCTTCCCACTTCCCCCCCACGCTCGCCGCCGAAAGAAAATGGATCACACTGGAGCGTGGGCCAGGCCGGGCTGCGTCGGCACGGCATGGAGCCCAGGGTGCAGAACAGCGACAGGCAGGCACCAGGCTGTATCCGATCGTCAAAAGCGGCGAAGGTATCCGTATTTCGGTTGGTCTGCGGACGCAGGCTTACTTGCACACACGACGACGACGAACGAAAACGGGCGCGGCGAGGGCACTGGAGAAGGAACCCTTGGACGAGGAGCCCATGGTCTGGAAGCCGGTGGAGCGCCAATTGGGGCTTGGTCATGGATATCAACGCCGCCCACGTCAGATAAGGAATCCTCCTTGGTCTTACGGCCAGGAGCTTTGGGATAGCGTGTCGAAGCGACGGCCCTGGCGACACGAGATGCCTGTCTAAGGGATATAGTCTGCGGCTCCGCGCCCGCGGCGCGGGAGGACCGAAAAAGCTCAGCACGCTGACGCCTGGGCACTGCGAAGCGGACAGCGCGTCGCTCCGCAGCACGGTAAGGATGCAAGCGCCTCGGAGCGCACCGACGGCGTGTCGCTCCGCTCCACAGCGCGTCGCTCCGCAGCGCACCGACGGCGGCGCGACTTGCTATCCGAAAGCTCCCAACCGTACAGCCAACCCGTATCATAAGGGTGCGCGGTAAGGATGCCAAGAGCCTCGGAGGCCCACGTGAACATTATTCAAACGAGGTTGGCCAGCGAAAGTCGCTAAGGATGGGCCGAAGGGGCAAGGATGCAAGGGTACCCTTGGGAAGGTTCCTCATCCTTACTATGCGGGTTGGCCGCACGCCTCGTGGGCACATTCATTAACGCGCGCCCACACCGCATCGGGAGCGAATCTCGAATCGGAACGAGCAGGCCAGAATCAGGTCAGGCATGTCCTCATACCGGCGGATTTGGGAAGAAATCCACACCCCAAAAAAAATGCAAACATGGTCCGAACATAATCGACATATCCTTACCAAACTATCTTTTACTATTCTTGAATACTCCGCCTGCAGAGGGACAGGCCCGACTTGAGGCCAGAGTCGACATCGAGCCGCCTCGATCGGGCCGCTCGGCCCCGCGGCGCCGCCGCTGGCCCGGGGCGCCCGCAGGTCCAGGGTGTCGCCCAGCGGGGAGCGCCCCAGCGCCGGGCTGCCGCGCGGCAGCGACGGGCTCGCCTCGACCCCGGGCGGGCAGGCTCAGCCAGCGTCGGACCGGCAAAAATATCGAGTCGACTCGACATGGAATCGACAGCGAATCGGATCGGCTGCACCAGGGTGCACATACAAGAACGCCGTGCAAACATCTGGCCGCATCGCACCGCCAGAAGATCGGCCACACGCGAGAGCGACCCCGGGCAAGGGTGACCCTGGGTGCGCGGCTTATAACGGGGGACGCGGGGTGGCCAAACGGGGGCGCGCGAGCCGTTGCCACCGCTTCGCGCTCGGCGATCGGGGGCCGCGTTTCGCCAGCACCACAGGACACTCCGGCGAAAGGCCACTCTTACGTCTAGTCGAGAATATCGGAGTCGAAGCGGAGCGGGCCGGCCAGAAGCAACATCGACTCGGATCGATCTCGGACCGAGATGGGCTCGGGGGGGCGCGGGGGCCGCGGCCCCTGGCGGCCGCCCCCGGGCATCCGGCGGCCCGAGAGAATGGCGAGACGGAGGCTCTCCTCCTTGCTCTCCTGTCGAAGAGGAGCGAGGATCGAGGAGCATCGAGGACCTCTTCCTCGACCCTCGATATCCTCGCCCCTCCTCGCTCCTCCTGGAGGAGGAGAGGGGATCGAGGCGGGGGGCCCTTCTGGCCAGGCCGTCGGGGGGGCCGTCAGGAGCCTGCCCCGGAGGGGGGGCGGGGAGGGCCCGCCCAGGCGCGCGAGGGGCTCGAGGAGGCCCGGGGGGGGGGCCCATGGCCTCGGCCGAAGCGGCGCGCCGGAGAGGCCCAGGTGCACGCGGGCGCGGCCTCCGGGCAGGCGAGGGCCTCTGGTGCGCGGCCCTCTCCACGGCAGGCTCGCGTCGCGTGTGGCCTTCGGCAGGGGTCGCGCGACCTCGAGCGATCGGCCGTTTCCGAAACGTCCACATCATTCAAAATGTGGCCTTCGGCAGGGGTCGCTCGACCTGGAGCGATCGGCCGTTTCCGAAAGGTCCACATCGTGCCACATCGAACGGTTCTGGGTCGCCCGCCGCGTTCCACGTCGAACGCCGCTGGCGGGGTCGCCGCCGGTCGACACGGCACGAACCCACCGGTCGGGAACTTTTGCGCAGCGTGTCACGGCGGCGGCCCCAGCGACACGCTATGCCCTGCGAGCGGATAGCGTGTCGCTTCGTTCCGCGGGGTGAGGGGGGAGGGGATGGGAAAAGATCGACACTGACGCCTGGGGAGCGGGGTGTGGATAGCGTGTCGCGCCGAAGCGTGGTGGGTCAGAACCGGCGGCGCGACACGCTAAGCCAAAGCCCCCGACTGCTAAGGGCCGCGGTGAAGGCCAAGTCCAAAGCAGTCCAAGAGCACCAGCCAATATTACGTCGGGCATGTCCTTCTACAGGCGGAAAGACTTCGAATAGTATTTGAAAAAATGCAAAAAAATCGACAGCCCAACGGGCCAGAGGCGTGCTAGTTTACAATTGTCGAGTTCGCCCGCGTGGGGCGGCCCCTGGGGGACCCTCGAACGAAAAGTACCCAGACAGGTCCCGGCCAGGTGAGGCCCAGAGATGGTTTTCCTCCTCGGCGCTGCCTTCCAGGCTTTCCCGAGCGCCCCAGGAACGCTCCAACAGAGCCCCGTGGCGTGCTCCAGACCGTCCGAGGGGCCCTCGGTCGCCGCCAGACGGCCCAAGACGCCGCCAAGAAGCCCCAAGAGAGCCTCAGAGGCTCTCCTAGAGAGCCTCACCAAGCAAAAAGTGTCCCATTCCCTCCAGAAAACGTACGCTTTGCCCATATACGACGTTTCGAGGTCAAGCGCGTCCAACACTGCCCAAGAGACCTTCAAGATCGCCCCAAGACGGCCCAACACACTCCCGACATGGGCCCCACACGGCCCAAGAGGGCCCCAAGACGGCCCACGAGGCTCCCTGGACAGACAGCCCTACGAGGGGCCCCATCGGGGGAGCTCGAATTGAATTTTCCAGCTTGCCGACCCGCACGATCGTCCCAAGACACCCAAGATGGCCTCCAGACAACCCCCAAGAGAGCCTCAAGAGGCTCCCCTAGAGAGCCTCAAAAAGCACAAAAATATCCCACTCCCTCAAGAAAACGTACGCTTTGCCCATATACGACGTTTCGATGTCCAGCGCGTCCAACACTGCCCACGAGACCTTCAAGATCGCCCCAAGACGGCCCAACACACTCCCGACATGGGCCCCACACGGCCCAAGAGGGCCCCAAGACGGCCCACGAGGCTCCCTGGACAGCCCAAGACAGCCCCAAGAGGAGCCCCATCGGAGGAGTACGAATCCCACCAGCCCTTTAGGGCGTAGGTGGTTTAGGGTGTTTCCTCTTCCACCCCCTTCTTCCCCTTCGGGGAAGGGTTTATCACTGTTCCCTATGAATAAACACCCCCTCCCCCAGGCGACTGGGGGCCAACCAGGGTCCATGCCTACCCCCCCCCCACCATCCCTTGTAAAAAAACAATACAAAACACACTCTGCCTCCAAATTCGAAACATGCGCAGCCAACCCGATGCGCCCCCCCCCCCACACCATCCCTATCAAAACACAATACAGAGTACACTTGGCGGCGGCGGCTGCGGCGGCGGCTGAGGCGGCGGCGGCGGCTGCGGCGGCGGCGGCGGCGGCGAGGGCGGGGGCGGCGGCGGCGGCGGCGGCGGCGGCGGCGGCGGCGGCGGCGGCGGCGGCGGCGGTGGCGGTGGCGGCAGCGGCAGCGGCTGCGGCGGCGGGCGGCGGCAGCGGCGGCGGCGGCGGCGGGCGGCGGCGGCGGCGGCGGCGGATTGGCCCCCAGTAGCTGCCCATCCAAAGACGACTGCTGAATATGCTGAGGCTCGGGCCAGACTCGGGTGCTACGTATGTGTTGGGAGGGCGGGTGGGAGTGAGCGAGACGGCTTGCGGGCGGGGAGGGGGTAACTTGATCCCTCCCCCTACCCCCTACCCTGGACCTGGAGGGGGCGTTTCGCGGGTCGTCGGAGCGTCCAAAACAGCTTCGGCGAGGAAGCCGAAATCATTGGTTTTACTAGGGTTCGGGCCCCGTTTTGGCCTCTTGGGGGGGGCAGCGCTAATTGAGGGACCCCCCTTCTTTGATCGATCTCCTCCGAGATGGCCCCAAGAGCGCTCCCAAGGCTCCCAAGGGTGCCCCAAGAGGGCCCCAAGAGGTGGCCAGGAGGCTCCAAGAGGCCCCCAAGAGGCCCCCAGGAGGCCCCCAAGACGCTCCCAAGAGACCCCCAAGAGGCCCCAAGAGGCCTCCCAGAGGCACCCAAGACGTTCCAAGAGGCCTCGGCGAGAATGCCAAAATCATTGATTATACTAAGGTTTTGGCCACATGGTGGCCTCCTGGTGGAGCGGGGGGCACTGCTTGAGGTGACTCCAAGAGCGCCTGGGAGAGCCCAAGGTGACCTCCAAGATGGCACAAGATATCCCCAGATGCCTCAAGATGGCTCCCACGATGCTCCAAGAGGCCCCAATACCCCTCCAAGACGGCTCCAAGTGACCAAAGAGCTCCCCCAGGAGGTCCCGAAGAGGCCAAAATCCTTCCAAAACCTCAGGGAAATCAATGTGTTTGGCTTTCTCGCCTTTTTGCTTCCGATGGCCATCCGAGGCTTCAAGATGGCTCCAAGATGGCCCAAGAGGGCTCCAAGAGCGCTCCCAAGGCTCCCAAGAGCGCTGCAAGAGGACCCCAAGAGGCGCCCAGGAGGCCCCAACAGGCGCCCAAGAGGCCTCCAAGAGGCTCCCAAGAGACCCCTAAGAGGCCACAAGAAGCTCTCCACGGCACCCAAGACGCTCTAAGAGGCGTCCGGGAACGCCAAGAGGCCCCCAAGACGCTCCAAGGGGCCTCCACTGGGGGACCCTTCCTCTGTGTGCTGCTCACTTCCCTGATCGAGGCAATTCCTCTCGGCATCGTTTCTGGATGGGCAGGTGGGGTGACGCGAAGCGTCTAGATAACGCCAAAAGACCCCCGAGAGGCCTCCCAAGAGACCCCCCAAGAAGCACACAAAGAGGCGGACCCACGGGAAGCAATTCCACGGCAACTGCTTCACCTGCGACGCTCGCCACGCCCCGCCTCCAGAAAGTGCCAGCCGCCCAGCGGCACAGCATTGACAGCAACACCCAGACAAACGACAGCGGCGAGACAATACGGGCCGGCGGAATGAGCGAAGCGATTAAATGATTCAAAGTAGTCGAAACATCGTCCCCGGACAATTGTTCTTACTATTTTGAACACTCCTCCTGCAGAGGAACATGCCCGACGTGAGGCCCGTGCTGGCGAGATCCCTGCGGGCCCGTACCAAAAGACCACTTCGGCAAAGGGTCGCTCTTGCGCGTGGCCGATCCAGGGGGTAAGGGGAGGGGTGCCCCTCCTCCCCTGGACCTCCACTGGTCCAACGGTCAGGTCTGGCGAGGTCTGTACGTAGCGGTAGGGACCCGACCACAAGAAACCTTCCAGCAGAAACCCAACCCTGAGACCCCAGGACGTCCATGGATGTTTGGTGTGGGAACGTCACGCCCTCCACAGCAAGAGCCATCGAACCCCAAGGACACCCCGGAGACCCGAGTGGCGTGCCTCCTCCCCCCGGGACCTCCACTGGCCCAACAGCCAGGTCGGGTGAGGCCTGTACGTGTGCCTGCGGGGGGCGGGGGGGGCGTCCACTCGAAGTGCAGGCGGAGAGCATGCAGCACGGCCACCTGGACCGAACAGACAAAACGGGCGCGCCGGGCGGCGGACTGGCCGCTCGTGGTCAGTGGACGTCCTCGAACGAGCAAGGCTGGAACTACGAGAACGAGAAATCTTGTCGATGGTCCCAACGGATCTCGAAGCAATCAGCGCGGAAGGCATCGAACACTTCTCCCCCATTCCGGGGCCCCGGGCCCATGAGCCCGTCGAAAAACGGCTCTGGATGAAACTCCGGTCCCGCGGGAAGGGGTCCAGAGGTCCACGCTGAGAAAAAAACAAGCATCGGAAGTAAGGGTCTTTTGTCCCTCCTCCCTCCCTCCCTCCATTCCCTGAGGCCTGGATGAGACTCCGGCCCCGCGGGAAGGGGTCCAGAGGTCCACGCTGAGAAAAAACCCAACATCTGCCTCCCTCCATTCCCTGAGGTATGGGTCCCTTTTCCCTCCTCCCTCCCTCCCTCGGGCCTGGGTCCCCCCCTCCCTCCGTCCCTTTTCCCTCCTCCTCCTTCCCTCACTTCCTGAGGGTCCATTCCCTTGAAAGAAAACCCAGCATCAGAAGTAAGAGTCCCTTGCCCCTCCTCCCTCCCTCCCCCCTCCCTCCCTCCGTCCCTCCCTCCTCCCCCCTCCCTCACTCCCTGAGGGTGCATTCCCTTGAGAGAAGACCCAACATCAGAAGTATATGAGTCCCTTGTCCCTCCCTCCCTCCCTCCCTCCACTCCCTGAGGCCCGGGCGTCGCCGGGCGGTTTCGCCCGGTTCGGGGCCCCAGGACCTTCGCAGAGCGGCCAGCCCTGCGTCTTTCCCGGAACGATCTGCGGCCTCACCTCTTTCCGTCGAGAGTGTCGGTTACTCCTTGTCCGCGACGTCCCCCTCCCTCCCTCCCTTCATTCTCTCTCCCTCCCTGCCTCCCATCTTGTGGCCTCCTGGAGCCTTCTGGGGCTGCGT